TTCCCAGAAGGCATCAAAAATGAGCAAAATCCTGTCAGAAATGGCAGGGCGGTCAAATGACAAGGAACGAAAGTCTCTCTAAGAAACCCAGCCTGTGTCTTGTGGCAAACTCAGCCCTGAAGTGAGGGGAGATCAGGGCGAGACACAGGGAGGAAAGCGACAGGTTGAAGAAAATTAAGATTTGTATTGGTTTTTCTTTTTCAATTACTGCCTTTCAAATTAATTCCTCTGGGCAGCCAAGGAGGCTTGGAAACCCTAAATACAGCCTGTAATAATGAGAATAATCCTGAAGAATAGATGAAAAAGAGGCATCAAAAGAAAAGTGCCAAAATGGAGAGAAACTTGAGCACCTTTAAAAAAGTTTACCTCAAAATAAGGTGCCACAATGTAGAAATGAAGATTGGGAAAATAAAGTCTTATAAGTGACTAGAGAAAAAGTATATTGTGTCTTGTGCCTGATGGCAAACTCAGCCCTAAAGTGAGGGGAGCTCACAGGGCTGGCAGAGACACATAGTTGAGGGAAATTAATATTTGTATTGGTTTTTCTTTAGTGAGTTCAATTCTTATAGCTGTCTTTTAAAATTCATGTTCTGGGCAGCCAAGGAGGCTTGGAAACCCTAAAGTCAGCCTGTAATAATAATAACCATAGATCCCAATCAAAAAGAAGCATTGAAAGAAAGTACCAAAATGAAGAGAAAGTTCAACCTTTTAAAAATTGACCTTTAATTTTTTTTTACCTCAAAAAAAGGCACCATGATGGAGAAAAAGGACTCATATGTGATTAGTGAAAATGTAGAATTACAAAATGAAGCAAGGCACCTACTGAAAAATAAATATAAATAGCACAAAGCAAAAAGAAAAGAGAGAGAGAGACATGAAGTTTTATTTTTGTTGTTGAGTAGGGAATACTACTCAGGAAATTTGAGTAGGAACCTTAAGACCTTTGGAGTAAAAGAATATTTTTTTTCTAGCCAAAAGTAATGAAGATTTCAGTGGTTTGAAAAGATTAGTCTGGACTTGGAGGTGGACAGTGCAAGAAAAAAGAGATTTAGCTACAATTAGTGAAAGGAAGGATGGAGGGGGAAATGTGAAGTTAAAGCCATTTTTAAAAAATGGCTTTAACTTCTCATTCTACCTCCATTCTTTTCAGCCCATTTATTGATATATAAAAGTTCCTTCTACGTCCCACTTGACTAATTTTGTCAGTCTTCCATTATGAAAAAAAAATTCACATAAGAATTACAAAACCAAAATCACTGCCCTTTCACCGTCAGTGAACAATATTTGAATAAATATTTTCAAAGTAGCTTGATCCTCTGAAAGCCTGAAGTTTCGGATCCAGTGGTGGGCTGCAAATTTTTTAACAACCGATTCTCTGGCTGGATAGGCGTGGTCATGTGAATGGGTGGGTGATGTCACTCATCACACTGAGCCCTGCCACTCGCCTCAAAGGAACAGCTGGTTCAGCTGGTTTATGTCTCTGTTTATGCAAAGGTTTCAGCTGATTTATGCCTCTGTTTATGCAATCAAGGATTGTATTGGCTGGCTAATATTTAAGTGATTGTCCACTAGGACTCCAAGGTTCCTCTAACAGTTACTGTTTTCAAACTAGGTTTCGCCTAATCTGCACTTGTATCTTTTGGGTTTTTGGTTCAATTTCATTTTCTTGGATAGGGCCCATTCCTCATGTTTGTCAAGATCTTTTTGGATTCTGAACTTGTCTTCTGGGGTATTGGCTATTCCTGACAGCTTAGTGTCATCTGCAAATTTGATGAGTTCCCCTTCTATTCCCTCATCTAGATATTGTAGAGTACAGGGCCTAAAACAGAACCACTAATTTAGTCACTTTGTCAAAGAATAAAATGATTATTTTGGCACAATCTTTTCAACAAACCCATGCTGGTTTTCTGTGATTTGTGAGTATGGTGATCTACACATCCCAGAGCCAGTCCTTCTGACCTCTATCAATCTATTTGTCAGGAGAAACTGAAAGTTGCTGAATATGATCCCTGTGCTGGTTAGACAGTATATAGTTTGGGAATGAGAGCTGTCCCCTTAAGGGAATGCCTCATGGGAGATGTAGTTAATGCCTCATGGGAGATGTAGTTCATGTATGTGGTCACATCTGTAATCCTGATTGGTCACTGAATTGACCTCTGGTTGGGTTAGGGGGAGTTTTTTGTTCATTCTTACTTGGACCCCAGCAACCTGCTGGAGTCTTCCTTTGCTGTATCATTATGGGATGAAGATAACTATCTTTTCACACTATGAAGACACTGCAAAGATTGGACATTAGATGAATCTCAACATAACTCTGAGTTATACCTTGAGGATGCCTGATATAATCCAATAAAGAAATTTTGTATGAAAGCCTTTGTAGTGTTTAACTCCTTATCTCAGGTATTTTGAGAAGATAAATATAGCCTGAGACAAGACAATCCCACTGGCATAAATATGAACCAGTTGTCAAGCATTTGATCTCATGTTCATGGGGATGGTGCAAAGCAGGAGTGTCAAACTCAATTTCATTGAGGGTCACATCAGTATTATGGTTATCCTCAAAGGGTCAGTTGCATATAAGACTATGACAACTCACACTGGCTGGGTGGGCATGGTCGGTTCATTACCACTCACTGGGCACAGCCGACTTTGGACAGCTGGCTCACGATGGAGTAAGTTGCACTGGCTAACTCAAGTTGGGGAAAATTTGTTGCCTTCTTCTCAAGCCCAGGCATTGGCAGTTTGCAAACTCAGATGTAGATAAAAGTCTCCAAGCTTGGATTGGTGTGTGTGTGGGCGCTTGAACAGCATGCCAAAGGAGACGGTCTTCTCCCAATCTCAGACACCGTTGGTGTTTGTTTCCCTGTCCGGTACCCGTCTCAGCAAAGCAAGAGGAGGAAGAGGATATTGATGGGTGTGGAAGTTTGCAGGGAGCAGTTTCCTCCAACTTCTGCCTTGAGAGATCTCTGGAGAGCAAGAGGAGGTGGCAGGGGAGCAGCACTCCTCAGTCCTGCATGAGGGAGGCTGGCCCTTTTTGAAAGGAAATCCTTGTTTCCAGTCGTGTATAGTAAAGATGCTGGCTTGTTGGGGCAGTCTTCCCTCACGCAACTCACCTGCCACCCTTCCTCCTCTCCAGAGATCTTTCAAGGCAAAAGATGGACTTGGAGGAAATTGCTTCTTGCAAACTTTCTCCTCCGTGCTTCTACATGCAGCAGCAGCATCCTCCATCTTCTGTGAGGGGGATAGGCAAGGCTGGGAGGGGGGATCCAGAGGTCTCCAGCAGAGCAAGACCAGACCAGGACGAGTAGCAAAGCCTCGTCCACCAGAGAAGCCTCGCCATCCCTTTCAGGCCACACGGAGGACCCTGGATGGTGGCATGGACTGCCTGGAGCCCTGGGAAATGGAGGGCAAGCATCCAGCCCGGCGCAGACCAGCTTTCCCAAAGGGTTGCTTGGCCATGCTTATCTCCTCCTCGAGGTTGCTGCTGCTACATAAACTATATGTATATGTAAACTGTATGTGTATGATTTTAAAAGTCTTGCTTCAATCTTCAACCGGAGAGGGATCCATTGGTCCCTTAACTCTAGAGTAAGGTGTCCATCCTTTCTCCTTGGTCCTCACAGCAGACTCAGTGGTTAACAGCACCTGGTATGATCCTTCGCAAAAAGGCCTCAATTTCTCCACTGCTCTCCGACGCTTTATCAGGACCCAGTATATGTTGTAATTCTACAAATGTATAGGTATTAGGACCTAGAAACAAATCCAAAGACAAAACTATAGGATCAGACAGTAGAGATGGCATATTCATTTTATATTTCCTCAAATCTGATGGTGTAAGAGGTACATTTACAAAAGTAGTAACAGGTGCTCCTGTATCTGACATTCCATTAGACATTTCTCTTAAAGGATGCAGTCTATTCTATTTCTTGGCTCTGGATCTAGTTACAGACCCTGAAGAGGTAGTTGGTTGACCTTCAGCATTTAATTCCATTGTATCCAACTCCCTTTTTAACTCCTGATTGCTTGCTTAGTAGCTGAAACATCCCCTCCTTCCACAGCCTCTTCTACTGCTTCTTGATTATAAGGAGGAGGACATGGGCACATGGCATATGCAAGTGGATCCCACCTTTGATCTTCCTCTTCCTTCTCATACAATATTTGTTTTGTTTGAGGAGGAAAAGGATCAGACCGTTGTACATGGTACCAGGGCTCCACATATGATAGTTGTTTTTCCAATTCCATATTTAACAAAACCTTTTTTAATGCATTTATCCAATAAATATCAGATTCACCATATTTATTGCACCTATAATTTGGAGCAATTAAAATAAACTCTGGCCAGATTCCAGTACAGTATTCTATCTAAATACCTTATTTAAACATTTCGTATAAGCACTCATCCAAGGATCTTTCCATTGAATAAGTAACTTCTCCCAATGGAGAATTTGGCAGAATTGAAGGGATTTCTGTTTGTCTTAGCATTTTTAGACATAAACACCACATTTTGGGGCTCCATCTTAACAACCCAAAACTCCCTCCTTGAAGTTAGAGAAAGAAAAATATGCCACTCATTCAAAACATCTGGTTTCTCTCCCTAACACTGTATATCATAGACACAGTTCAATCATTCAAGGAGTTATAAATCACCCAGTGAGACCCCTCAATTCCAAACACAGCAATTCTGTTCCTCAAGAGAAAAGAAAAACAAATACTAACGAGTGATGGTGCACCAAGATATCGTTTGGGTTGCTCAGCCCTTTTGTTCACAGGTCTCTCTGTCCGGGTAGAAGAGCTTTCCCCCTTATGAGGCCGAAAAACTTCACCTCCTGTACACTGAACTCAGTGGTGGTGTCTACCAAAAGGAGAGTGTGTCGTCCTCTAAAGGGAAAGAAAGTCTTATTCCTGAAAACCACATAAAAGGAAAACCCTTTTAATATATTTCAGAAGGTCCCTGTTCGGGCACCATTTCTCAGAAAAATAAAAAAGACAAAGAAAGCTAGGAACAAATTCAGAGCTGTTTATTAAACTTTTGCAAAAGTGGAATCCCAATGTCAAGAGATATTGATAGACAAGTTTCCAATCTTACAAGATTTTTATACAATTTCCAAAGGTCTAACATCTCTTTCTGTTATCATATTCTGCAATCTCATTGGTCAGAGGTGGGGTATGAATCTGTTTCCAGGAAAGTTTGTCCTACATGGTTTTCCCCTTTAATTCCAGTAATAACACTGGGCATACCCCATATCATTTGACATCTTTCACTAAACATTGGGTGACCTTCCAAAAATCCCCAATGTCTCTTCTAAAAATCCCCCACTGACCCAAAATTATTATGTGCCCTGCCAACAATGTTCTTGCAAAATCAGGAATAAACACGTTTTTGTCAAAAATAAGACCTGTTACTTAATATGTTATCTTGGTTTGTTCTTAGGCTAAATATGGAGTCCATATGGTTTATCTTTGCAGGAATAACTATAGCAAACTTATATCATTTCTCACATATGGTTTCTCTCCTGTATGGGTCTTCTTATGGGAGGTAAGATTACTATTCTGACTAAAAGCCTTCCCACACTCTATGCATACATATGGCTTCTCTCCTGTGTGGATCCTCTTGTGGGAATTAAGATTACCACGCTTCCTAAAGCTCTTTCCACACTCCATGCATTGATATGGCTTCTCTCCTGTGTGGATCAAGTTGTGAGATTTAAGACTACTGCTACAAGTAAAGGTTTTTCCACATTTCATGCATATATAAGGACTTTCTCCTCTGTGATTCCTTTGATGGATTATAAAAGTCTTATAATAACAGAAGGTCTCATCACACTCCATGCAATGATACGGTTTTTCTCCTGTGTGGATCCTCCTGTGGGTATTAAGATGACTGCCATGAGTAAAGGTCTTTCCACACTCCATGCATTGATATGGTTTCTCTCCTGTGTGGATCCTCTTGTGGCAATCTAGATGACTGCTACGAGTAAAGGTCTTCCCACACTCCGTGCATTTATACGGTCGTTCTCCTGTGTGGATCCTTTGATGGGTTATAAGATAGCAACTGTAAGAGAAGGTCTTTCCACACTCCATGCAGGTAAATTGTTTCTCTTCTGAATATGTCTTGTCATGAGAAATGAGATGATCGGATTTATTAAACCACTTTCCACACTTCATGGATTTATATGGTCTTTCTTCTGTATCAATCATTGTATGGTTAGGAAGCCAATTGACAAGAGGAAGACTTCTTTTAATTCCACTTTGTGATTGCTTTGTTTCATCATTCTTTGGTTGCATCTGATCTACAAATTTCCTTTCCTCCCCTTTCGAATGGATTGCTTGGTGTTCCTCCTTGCAATTCTTATTCTCTTGCCCATTAAAGCCTTGAAAAAGAAAAATGAGAACTGTTGCAAAAATAAGGAACAATAAAACCTTTTCTTCTGAAATTTAGACAACAAATAATCAATATATTTCATGTCTTTGGTGGGCAAACATGAAGAATCCAAACAAAGATTATAGCAAAGACCCTTTTCCAAGTGCATCCCTAATGATCCCCATACAAAAGGATTAGATCACAGCCCTTACCTAATCTTTCTCCTGGGACAATTCCATGGTG